CCCCAAAACCCCAAAACCCCAAAACCCCAAAACCCCAAAACCCCAAAACCCCATCTTCATAAAATAATTTTGAAATTTTAATGGAGGATACAGCTCCGCTCAAAGAAGAAGATCTTGACTTGAACTTTGATGACATTGCACTCTCATCAGAGCTTGAAAGAGCTATGATGAAGGAGTTTAAAGACAGCATGTCCCAGTTTGACAGCAGTTACTTTGATATCTATGAGTATATCAACAACCTGTTTCCGACTGACGAAACTCTCAATAACCTTGACAGTGTCATAGAGGAATTTGATCGGAAAATTGTTGAATGAGAAAAGGAAATCAAAGACAAAGTGATCCAGCAAGCCTACGAGAACGAACAAATCAAGGAAGAGCTTGCTAAAAGGGACATCATGACTCTTGTAAATAAGTTTGAATCTATCAAACAAAGAGCAGAGGAGAGTGAAGAGAAGGTCAAGACTATCTGCTCTGAGATTAAGAGTCATGATAATGCCAAGAAGAACATCCTGACTAGTATTAGTTCACTCAAGAATTTGATTATGCTGGTGACTGCTATCGAGGAACTAAGACAGTTTTGTATTAATAAGGAATATAAATTAGCATCTGACCTTATTTTGGCAACTGGAGAGCTTTGAGATTACTTCAAGGAGTATGAAAATATTAATGAGATCCACCAAGCTAAGAAGGAGAGAGATCATCTCTGAAGCCAACTCAGAATTCAGCTTAGTGAGGAGTTCAGAAAGTTTGACAAAGGAAATTCACCCGAGCAACTCTATGAAGGATGCTTTGCCATAGACGCTCTTGGAGAACAGGCTGTTAATGAAGTGAGGCAATGGTTCTGCTCGTTCATACTGGAGTCCTACATCGAAGCTTTCAGTTTTGACGAAGAAAATGAATCTGCTAAATTTGAAAACACTGACAGAAGGTTCGCATGGCTCAAAAGAACTTTAAAGGACTACTCTAACAGGTTTGAATCGATTTTCCCTGATGAATGGAACCTAAAGCCAATGTTGGCCTATGAATTTTGTAAAACGACAAAATTACACCTTGACCAAATACTTTCAAATTCTCACAGCGATATTGATATTACAGTGATGATTAAGATTCTCAGGAAGACACTTGAATTCGAAAACTACCTTCATAAGAGATTCCTCTCGAAGAAGAAGGATGAATTTGACGAAAGAGTTTACCTAGAAGGTGACCGTGTAGAGTTCGATGTAGGAGACGCAGACCAAATCAAGGAAAAATACAACAAGAAAGGCTTTGATTTCGATAAAGATGCAAAAGAGAAAACCCACAAGAAAGCCAGAGAAGCTGGGAGAACTAAGATTTCAGCACATATCTATAGGTTCAGAGGGTATATCTCGGAGTGATTTGAACCATATTTGCAGAAATATGCTCAAACTGAAGAGAATATTATCATTGACTCTCTTGAACAAGCTATGAAGGATGAGGAGCTAGAGGGAGATGATGAATATCCATTCTACAAATCCTCACTTCTCATGTTTGCTGAGATAAAGAAGTCTATCTCACGATGTACTTCCTTTTCAAACTCAAAGACCTTCTTTGATTTGCATAGATCGTTCATGAATGTCTTCAGACATTATGCCAGATCTATCAAGAAGAATGTTCCTTCTCTTGGACAAACTCAAAAAGAAACTCTTGATGAGAAAGTAGAGGTTACTATTGCTTACATAATTAACACCTGTGAATATTGCAACAGAATCCTTCCTGGCCTTGATGAACACATCAAGAATGAAATAGAAGAGAGCTATAAAGACGAGGTCAACCTCGACAGTTCCCAAGAACTATTCAGAACATTGATCAACCAATCAATTCAAACACTTCTCAACTCAGTTGAAGCCAAACTTCTAGAGCAATTCAGCTCGATTATAAAAATGAATTGGAGTAACTTCAAAGCAGTGAACGATACCCTTGATTGCATTAAAAATTGAAAGAAAATCCTGAAAAACCTATGCTCTTCTCTTGAGACCAACCTCAACTCAACTTACTTCTCATACTTCATGAACAAATTGGGACCTATGGTCCCAAAGTTGTACATGGAAGCAATCTACAGAATTAAGAAATGCAATGAGGAATCTTCTCAGCAGTTCCAGCTGGATCTGCTGGAACTCAAGAGTGCACTCATGGACATCTCAAAATCTTCTCCCAAGATGACAAAGACCTTTGTCAACTTGGTAAACAGAAGTATTACTCAATCAGAGACGAGACTAAAAGTTCTTGGCGTGCCTAAAGCACAGATATGTGAGGTCTACAATCACCTGATTAATGACCAGGATAAGAGCATTGAAGACTTTGCTAAAATTGCGAAAATTAGAGGGTTTAACAAGACAGAATTCGATCTCTCTCAGATCCAAGTTGATGATGAGTAAATATCTTCAATTGATAAATATACCTCGGGGTTTTGGGGTTTTGGGGTTTTGGGGTTTTGGGG